CCGCATTTGGTAAAGGCTTGAAGATTTTGTAAAGACATATTTGGCCGAAATAGTGCGAGGCATTGTGAAAACAAGGCCAAGTCCGGACAGATATATAACGATAAAACCGGTAACAGAGTATCAAGATTTTGTAATAGAAAATGGATCTCGCGCAGAATAAACATGGGAAATCCCGTCTTTTTGTTGTTTCTCTGCCGTCTGAATCGCTTTACCGATGCCGAAAAGACTAAGTTGCGTCGGTTCATTACGCAATTTCCCTTCCGTCGTCATATTGCTGTTTGATAAGCGCGACATTAATTATCACGGCATTTACAAATAGACCATGTTTGGTAGGTGGATCTCTTACATTCTTTAGTCATTTCACCCGAAGAAGTTGAAACCAGGTGTGTTGGCGTCCATCGGTCTCAACACAATTCTATCCCATATCTACGCTTAATATGTACATTTGCCATGCTAGATAAGTTGATAATAGGTTAGTAAATGGCAACGCGTTATGCCTTCTCCATCTGCGTAACAAGAGAGAGAGAAAAACGACTCTAACTTCTTCTACTTATTAAACTTTAATTTTTTACAATCGACGGAATTAACTGCTCTGAAGAGAGCTCGTTTCAATCGCGAAAGCGCTCGACCAATAATTACGAATTTACGTAATTCGTAACTTCGCTTCCGTAACTCGAAATAATTCCGTAATTCCGTAAATTACGTGCAAGCCTATTGCTAATTTTAATTATTATTGGTTGCGCTGTTATATCTACATCTATTCTTATCTTTTTTAATGTTGCATAATTATTTTTTTGGTAAAAAAACGGAAATTTTGCCGAAAATTGACTGCCCGGCATTCAACGGCGCAGAGCGTCGCTCCTACTGAAGCTATCATCGTCAAAATACCATCATTCGGTAGAGGGCGATAACAATGTATATAATTTATTTGGGTGATCGCAAGATGTCGTACGAGATTTAAATAAAACCTAAAATTCTGAATTATAAATTCCGTAAGAATATTAAGATTTCACGCAGCGTCAAAAGTTACGTCAACCTCACGTAGATTATTTTTCGCTCACTTCCGACACGACGTCACACTGCGTCGCGGAAATGAATTTTGACGCCAGACACAACGGAGCCAATATGACAATTTCCGTTCAGATAAAGACGGCGTTCCAATGTAATATTTTTGTATTTTGTTCGGTCATGTATGAATATATGCCAAAATTACATTAATGAAAATACATGTCACACTTAATCGATGACGTTAAAAATCGAATATATAAAACTATGATAATTCCAACGTCCATATGGCACAGTGCACTGACTTGACCATTATTTAACGATTAGTAGTCGAAATGACAGATATTGAATACGGCCTGGGTGAATTTTATTCACTCGAAATTAAAAATAAATTTAATCTCCAACAAATAAACGGGACCTACATGTTTACAAGATTAAGTTGAATTTTAAATTAAACTTCACAATCGGATTTTCCGTGTGTTTGATATAAATTATCATTTATAAAGATAACCGCGCAGAATAAAAAAAAGCTATCCGTCGAGAATATTAATACTTCAAAGACTTCGATAGAAGCCCTTTAAAATACTTCATTGTGGATTGAAACGGTTTGCATCAGATATATTTACGTATGCATTTCCTGATTAAAATGACTAACGTGTTATTACACTCATCTGAAGTATCGAAAATAACGAACGAAAGATGTAAACATAGGACGACGAGAGTTTCAAATAATGCATTTTCGTCGTGACGTCAATGTTACGTTACGACGACGATCGAGCGTCTTATCTTCACGCAACGACGTGATTACGTCATCCGCATCGGAAGCCTCTTTCTCTCTGTGCGTCGCGGTTACGCAGTGAAGAAAATGACTGTCCGAAGTTAGGGCAGTGAAGGATAACGGTCAGATGGCAAGAAATATCGATTATTTCAATAGTAAAAATAGTCCAATTGAACCGAAATTTGCAGGGAATGTAAATTACCGCACGAATGTTTTACCGAGCAATTTTGGCATCGTTTGGACAATAAATGGCCGAGTTATTCACGAATATATAGTAATTTTGTCCGAAGTTAGGCGCTTTTACGGTACCGTAAAAGCGCCTAACTTCGGACAAAATTACTATATTTTCGTCAATAACTCGGCCATTTATTGTCCAAACGGTGCCAAAATTGCTCGGTAAAACATTCGTGCGGTAATTTACATTCCCTGCAAATTTCGGTTCAATTGGACTATTTTTACTATTGAAATAATCGATATTTCTTGCCATCTGACCGTTATCCTTCACTGCCCTAACTTCGGACAGTCATTTTCTTCACTGCGTAACCGCGACGCACAGAGAGAAAGAGGCTTCCGATGCGGATGACGTAATCACGTCGTTGCGTGAAGATAAGACGCTCGATCGTCGTCGTAACGTAACATTGACGTCACGACGAAAATGCATTATTTGAAACTCTCGTCGTCCTATGTTTACATCTTTCGTTCGTTATTTTCGATACTTCAGATGAGTGTAATAACACGTTAGTCATTTTAATCAGGAAATGCATACGTAAATATATCTGATGCAAACCGTTTCAATCCACAATGAAGTATTTTAACGGGCTTCTATCGAAGTCTTTGAAGTATTAATATTCTCGACAGATAGCTTTTTTTTATTCTGCGCGGTTATCTTTATAAATGATAATTTATATCAAACACACGGAAAATCCGATTGTGAAGTTTAATTTAAAATTCAACTTAATCTTGTAAACATGTAAGTCTCGTTTATTTGTTGGAGATTAAATTTATTTTTAATTTCGAGTGAATAAAATTCACCCAGGCCGTATTCAATAACTGTCATTCCGACTACTAATCATAAAATAATGGTTGAGTCAGTGCACTGTGCCATATGGACGTTGGAATTTCCATAGTTTTATATATTCGATTTTTAACGTCATCGATTAAGTGTGACATGTATTTTCATTAATGTAATTTTGACATATATTCATACATGACCGAACAAAATACAAAAATATTACATTGGAACGCCGTCTTTATCTTAACGGAAATTGTCATATTGGCTCCGTTGTGTCTGGCGTCAAAATTCATTTCCGCGACGCAGTGTGACGTCGTGCCGGAAGTGAGCGAAAAATAATCTACGTGAGGTTGACGTAATTTTTGACGCTGCGTGAAATCTTAATATTCTTACGGAATTTATAATTCAGAATTTTAGGTTTTATTTAAATCTCGTACGACATCTTGCGATCACTCAAATAAATTATATACATTGGTGTCGCCCTCTACCGAATGATGGTATTTTGACGATGATAGCTTCAGTAGGAGCGACGCTCTGCGCCGTTGAATGGCGGGCAGTCAATTTTCGGCAAAATTTCCGTTTTTTTACCAAAAAAAATAATTATGCAACATTAAAAAAGATGAGAATAGATGTAGATATAACAGTGCAACCTATAATAATTAAAATTAGCAATATACGGCGCGTTTTAGCCAAGATATGGCCGTTCAAAAATTTTGTCCGAAGTTAGGAACTGTCCGAAGTTAGGCGCTTTTACGGTACCGTACCTACCGGTACGTGTTCGCTCACCCAACAGCAGAGAGGAAATTAAAGAGAAACATAAGGTACCGGTATATTACTTAGTAAATGGACAAATGTGAAAATAATTATTAACTTGAACTTAAAAACGCTTACGGTACGGTACCGGTACCACTTCTTGTGACAACACCTTTCAATCTAATATACGGTACCGTACGGTAAGTACGTTTTATACCTTATATAAGTATGATATAAGTTCATTTCGACTCCATAATCAGCATAACCATAAAATGATTGGTAAAAAAAAAAACTTATTATGAAATCAGGACAGCAAACAAAACCTTAGATAAAGTTTAAAACGTAGTCTACCTACAGAATGTGTATATGATGGAAGGTTTTGCCAAGGAGAAGCGGTACCATAGTCTACGTGTTCACTCACTTGAAGTAATTGAAATATTTCACACACGCTCACACACACAACCATACAGAAGTTATAAAGTAAGAGGAACATGATAAATTACCTCGTTAAAATAAATAATTAAAAATTACTAAAGCTTTTGTTCGGCTTAAGATCTGTATTCAGTTTTATTTTGTTTCTTCCAAATTTTTTTTATTGTCTTTTATGCTGATTATTGAGTCAAAATATACTTTTACTTACTTGCCCTAATACCGGTAAGCGATTAATTGATTGACTTAATTAATAAATTTATTATATATCATGTTGTGCAATGACAGAATGACCTGAAATGAAAATTTTCTGATTGAGATTATTCCTAAAACTGCGAAAAAATATTCTAATAAAGATAGTTTTGATTCGTTTTGGACATATCTGTTCACAATGTGAGTTAGTTAAGAGTTTTGGACCCGATTATTTTGGCATCACCGGTCAAAAGGTTTGGGTTCGAATCCCGTATCCACAACCTCACCACCCAATCATTCCTGACTTGAATGATTGACCATGATTTGCCATTTGATTGAAGTTTTTTCCTTTCAGCATAATTGGGGTTTCGTACATAACATACTTTTAGTGAGCGTAGCATAAAAAAATTTTACATGTCAATCCTAACCGACTACCCCCTCCAAAAATTAGGTCATTACGACATCACAATCACGTCATAGAGCTTGCCGAATATACGTAAAATCATCCGAAATGGCATCGACGCCGACGATGAAGAACTGACTAATGTCAGCGATCTCTCTCATACTGGGATTGTTGCGACGAGAAAACGAGAGAAATAGACTAGCTGTTCGATTTTGGGTGCACAGACATGCGCGTCTTAGATCAGATGACAGTTCGTATAGTTTGAAGGGCTCTATTACGTTACTGTATCGTCATTTTTGGATGGAGTGGTCAGGTGGGGGTTAGGATTGACAAGTAAAAAAATTGTTACGCTACGCCCACTAGAAGTACGTGAGGTAGGAAACTACATCAGACCCCGTAAATGATACTAATATTTTAATATTATCTACAACTTTATCTTAGTTTCAGAATTTTAGTATTTTAATCGAAAATTAAGGACGTACAATTAATAAGTACTTAATAACTAACAAAGCCATAGGGATGGAGGCACGTAGACGTCGCAAAGCAAGAATGGATCGTGATGGCTCCTCTGAACGAGGCCGAGATGGCAAGAGCGGTCCTCAACGAAATGGATCATCTGCCATTAAAAAGTTATTCTTCGTTTTTTTTGTTGTATTTGGAATCGGAGCACTTGGATATTCTTTATCAGTATTACGGCCTGTCGAGATGGACGACATCCCAATTTTTCAAGCTGATATCAAAATCAACCAAGTACTGGAACAAGGAGAGCGAATTATTGTCGGGCAAGTTGGCCCTGAATCCATGGCAATTGATAAAAATGGAAATATATATACTGGTCTACGGGATGGCAGAATTATCAAAATTCATCCGAGTGCGACAGGTGAACTAGGTGTCGGATTGGTTGAAGATTTCAGAAATGGACCAATACCGGGTGTTGAACCTATTGATGGACATGTAATACCCCGCCCACTTGGACTCCGCCTCCGTGGAGATATTTTGTATGTTGTAGATGCCTATTACGGTATTTATACTCTGAATATGAAAACAAAAGAAGTGCGCCCCCTAGTGAAACCAGACGATGTGGAACCAAGCATGAAATTTCCAAACGATTTAGATATTTCGAAAGATGGGAAATACATTTATTTCACAGATACGAGCTCGAAGTGGAATCTGGGTCTTTTCTATTATGATGTCCTGGAGGGAGAATGCTTGGGGCGTTTATTCCGACTAACGGTCAAAACTGGTGAAATTAAACTCCTTGCTTCGAAGCTCTGCTTTGCAAATGGCGTGCAACTTTCAAACGATGAGAGCAGGGTCGCTGTTTCTGAAACCACTCGATTCCGAGTCCTTTTTCTTGACACCAAAACTGGAAAAGTTGAAAAAGTTACGGACGTACCCAGCATGCCAGATAATATCCGTCGTAGCCAAAAAGGGGGTTTTTGGGTCGCATTACCAGTTGGTCGATCACATTTCGTAGATTTTCTTTGGAAATACTCGATTTTACGTCGAGTTTTTACTGGTTTGGTGCCTTATTCATTGTATCCACGTTTTGCAAGTGATAAATATGGATTGGCGGTTGAATTGGACGCTAATGGTAACATTGTTTCGTACGTTCATGACATCACAGGGAAAACATCAAAAACTGTCTCTGAATTAATGGAGACAAAAGATGGCGCTCTGTTTGCTGGTTCTTATAAGGAGCCATATATGGTGAAAGTTGAAAAGAGATAATTATAAAGATTAAGCGGTGCTATTATAGCATGAGGCCCATTGCCATATGTCTCCCACCCAGTCTGAGATATTTCAGGTTAGGGTCAGATCTATCCAATAAATCGCTAAACTAAACGCATAGAGATACCAAGTGACCGTACATTTGAACCCATGCGTATATATGCGGGTTCAATCTATATGCGGGTGCTAAAACCCATGGGTTAGGTTTAGTATGGGTTCAAATATCCGTAAAACAAAAAAAATGGTGCAATAGTATGCAGGTGCAATTGTCGTGTGTTCAAATGTACGTGGGTTCAAATGTAATGGAACCAGATACCACAGTGTGAGTTCTATCACTACTTACTTAGATGAAGTCTGAGGTCTATCGCGTCTCTTGATGCATCTGTATAGGTCAATTCTTGGATGTGTACAAATTAGTATTTACTAAATTGAACGCATAAAAATAAATGATGCCCATTAGGAATGGAAATGCAGCAATAGATCTCACGCTATATCATTATACCTCACGATAGTACCAGCTTTTTGTATATCTCATGCTATAGGGTAGTGGTTCTTATGCTATAGTATTACTGAAAAGCTTTTATTTTTATGTATGGGTGTCAAAAAGAATCGAATATATTTGAAATTTTTTATTCAGATGTAGAAATATTTTATTTTAAATAATTTAGAAAATTTTGACATATACATATCTGTCTTTCCAAGCTATCATACCTCAAATTATCCAAAAGCAATAAAATATTTGAAGAAAAAATCATAATTAGTTATATTTTATTATATTATACAAATTTTATATTAAATTAAACTTAATTATTTCTGAAATAAAAAATTTATTACAGAAATAATTAAGTTTAATTTAATATAAAATTTGTCATTTTGAGATGTTGACACCTAACTATCAGACCAAAAATTGCTCAAAACCAATTGAATGTTCGAATACTTTTAAAATTGGTTATATGCAGTGGTGGGATTCAGCCGGTTCGCACCGGTTCTATAGAACCGTCTCACGGAATTTTATAAAATCAGTGAACCGGTTAGCATTACTGGTTAATGTTCTGTTTGTAACAGAACCGGCTGAAAAATATGACTTTTGTGAAGGAACCGGCTGACAAAAAATTTGAATCTCACCATTGGTTATATGCAATCAATATAGTAAATTTTTAATTTCAATAATAATTGAGGATATTTTGAAATTATCATTCTGAGCTCTCAGCACAGAACAATAACTTATACGTTTGTTTTCATCACTCTATACTGGATATGGGCCATGACCCGCATGGTTCAAAAGTGATGCTCTCACGAGAAGTGAACAGTCAAACTGCCTAATCTGAAATTTTTTTTCACCATTTTGTATTATATATAACTGTAAGTATGTTTCAAAAAGTTAATTTTTGATACTACCTAGTGCTTTGAGCAATCCACTGCAAAATTATATGCGCAAATAACAGTACTCCATTAGTGTATGTACCAAGTTAAGTTTAGGCCAAAATTTTATTCCAATTTTCCTTATTTTAGTTCTAATACAAGTTCGGGGACCATCTGTGTTAGCCAAGTGAATATACGCCTTGTCCATATGTTTCAGTCCCTTTACACAACTTGATGTAAAGTAGGTGAACAAAATTAGTTACCTCCATATTGGTACACACACTTCTGGAGCGCCCAACTAGCTGATATTGAACTTATCATTAAGTAGATCAATTGGATCTAATTAAATGTTCTGGCTTAGGATAGATATAACGCTTGGAGTTAATGGTTTGAATGCAAACGGATAATGGATTTGTTTAGGACATCCCATGGTTTGCATTTCACTATTTTCAGTTGATTTTTTTCCACTGATTTTCTGTGCTGAAACTTTGTGTCATTTTATAATTGTGAATCTGTGTTTTCTTTAATTCCTGTTATAATACCAATTAGAAGGCGCAACTATGCAGATCGGATATTTCAGATTCAAACCTTGTGCATGTTAAGTGATTGTTCAATGCTACTTTTCAGAGAGCAGTTCACCCAGGTTCAACCCCCACGTCCACTACCTCATAAAAATTCATTATTTCCTTTCTGAATGTAAAAAAAACTCGAACTCCATATTTGGCGCTTCAGAGAAGTGTGTGTTCCAATATGAGGGTTACTAATTTTGCTCGCTCATTTTACATCAAGCCTATGGGCAGGGGGATATTCACTTGGCTAACACAGACAATATCCTAGCTCGAAATAGAACTAAAATAAGGAAAATTGGAATAAAATTATGCCCTAATCTGGTACACACACTACACTATAACGACCTGGGTGAAATAAATTATCTATGCGGAACTCCAGTCTAGATATTCCAGTTGTCCCAAATATTGAGTGCTTGACTAGTGCCTTGTTGACAGAGAAAGCATGAGTTACTTGATAAATAAATACACTTTGATTTAAAATTGTTTTAAAAGATTGATGACGTCATCAGCTGTGATGTCATAACTTTAAATGCCTTGCATAGTAGGCCTATCTGTAATAAATGAGGGCAATTTTATTTGAAAACCAGCGAATACAAATTGTGCTCTTTGATTCTATGCATTTTCCAGAATTTAATAAAAAGTGAGTTTTTAAGATATTTTCGTGATGGATTTCGAGTTGTGAAAAATGTGAATGTAAACCAGGGGTAGGCAAGGTTACTCGACTAGGGGCAAACACTTTTGCCCACTCAAGACTGGCGGGCCATGCAAGTGTGATGTAAAATGTTACATTTTTTGAACAATATTTACAGTGTTACAAAAGTAGAGGTGTGAAACAATGAGCCTTGTGCCAAAACTAAATTTAATCGCAATCTCAACATATTCCTTGAGCTATTTTTAAATTAAAACATTAAAATTTGGTTTTAGTTTGGTTGTGGCGGCATCAGGCGGGCCAGATTGGATTATCTAACGGGCCGGATTTGGCCAGCGGGCCCTAGCTTACACATGTCAGATATAGACATTGTAAGCAAAGATCTGAATGTATTTGATAGGGCAAGAACAGGACAGTGCCGGTCTCTGTTTTGTACGACTTTGATCCAGAATCACCACTTACTCCGGCTCTTTTTTCTGAAGCTTTGTACTAGTGGCATTGGTTAGACCAGGAGTCCCGACCCCAAATGGGTCCGAGTGATAAGTAGGTTGGGTCGCAAACAGGTCGTGGGATCGCTGAGGTATGGTAGAGGATGGATGTACAACACATCTAAGATTTGACAAACCGAGGTAAATTCAACAGTTTGTACCATGGCTTACTGTAAAACAGGTCCATAGGCATCGCTATATGCTTATGCTATAGAAAATGTAGGTGTTTTTTGTGACATCACTGTTTGGTTTTAGCTTATTGACCTTAATACGACCACATGACCAAACTCAAAAGTTCAGTGAAAGAAGCTCTAAAGCAGGGGTCGGCAACCTTCTGTAGTTCGTGGGCCAAAATTAAAGGTTGCAAGTCATTGACGGGCCGCACATATTTTTTAGTTAAAAACCGAACGGATGACCGATGACTCACATTTTTTCACACAGATCAGATGTTAAATTTTAAGCAGCGCGCGATTTCGGATATTTTTTGCACTAAATTATACTACTTTGCATTATATTTGCACTTAGCATCAACTTTTCGGCGTTTTGTTGCCATTTGTCTAATCAGCGTTTCCCAACCTTTTTTGGTCGCGGACTATTTTCTCACCGGCGAAAACCTTTGCGGATTCAACGTGCGTTTATTGCAACCGTACTCTGTGTGAAGAGCAATTAAAGCAATTACGTGCTCGTTAAAAGAGTCGACTTTTTAGTGTATAATGGCCGTTTCCGTCGCACAATATTCAATCCATGACAACGACGACAATTTAAAATATCTTTCTATTTTAATTTAATTGTGTTCATGGTAACCCACTGTTGCTTCGACATACGACAAGATGAAAGCATTACCTCTTCAAAATGCCACGGCAATCTGCGAACAAATAATGTGAGAATAATATTGCCCGATTATATTTAGTTTTGATACCTATTTTTTGCAATCTTGCGAATTTGTTATCGCCGTTAGAAAAATCCTACTATCTACTATAAAGTTCCAGAAAGTACAACTTGATTTAGCACTTATTAAAAATATATTTAAAGTATATTAGTAAATTAAAAATACAAATTCATCGCCTTGCTTCACTATTAATTTAATTGTGATGATTTTAATCTGCAGTTGTGTTGACGAAATAAAAGCAACGCGTGGTATTGCCCGAATATATTTTGTTTTGATTCGTATTTTTGTGAAATCGACAAATCTGAGCTGTTCGTACAACACTTATGGCGCTCCAGTACTGTACATACCAATGTGGAGCCAGTAAAGCAAGGAATCCCGAGGAAAAATGCCCTGGTACGTATACTACGGTAGCATCAGTGGGGGGATTCAGCCGATTCGCACCGGTTCTTCAGATTCAGATTCAGATATTTATTTTCGCCATGCAAAAAACAATGCGCGATATGAAAAATGAATAAATAATATAATGTAACAAAATGTCAAATGGATATCGGCTTGTTGCAGTTGACGCGGAGTCGCGAAAAGACTCATAGAGTCATCTAGTCAGCGACACCTTGTAGCTGAAATTAAGCAGCATCAGCGAACCTGTTAGCCGTACTAAAAAAACATGTAACAGAACCGGCCGAAAAATATGACTTTTGTGATGGAACCGACTGACAATAAATTTGAATCCCACCACAGGGTAGCACCCGAAATTTTGCGATTTGCAATGTCTAAAAAAGCGTTTTTATTCGGTCGCGGAACCTCATAAAACAAAACTTATGGTGTTCTCTGTTTTATTTTCAGCATTTTGTGTTGCCGCAATTTAGAAAATTTGAATTGCAACCATTGACACTTACCAGAAAAAAAATTTATTCCTCGTTGTTCGAACCCGCGAGAAACACCACTAAGGTATCTATCGAAGTGTGTGCAGACTCGTGTTTTCGTCGGAAATCCGCAAGTGAGTTGTGAAATCCAATCGTTTGATCAGGCGACGCGTCACCTGTTACCAAATTTTCGAATAGTTAATTGCTATTCTAATAGTTGAGTATTCGAATATATGTCCAGTCCTACTTATTAACCAGTAATTATTGTCTCGATTATTGTTATGTGAATAAACTTGCCTTTTATGTTTTATGTCAATTCCAACTTAAATCGTAACTTGGCTGATAAATAAGTTTCGCAAAAATGTTTGCAGTCCGCAGTGAATTTCTGGCTCGCTGCGGACTCATTCAAACGCTCCGCGAACTCATTTGAGACCGCGGACTCGGGTTGGGAAACACTGGTCTAAATTATAATTAAATTATAGGCTCATTAAACGAGTAATTGTGACTTATATACTTGTAACGTTATAATATAATTTAGTCTGCACGTAAATTCTTTTGCGTAAAGAATATAAGCGACAAAACAGCTGTTTTGTTACTATAATCCAGTGAGGACCCCTGCTCTAAAGTATCATGAAATATATATATATTCACCTGGGGTGGCACTGGACACTTGATAGTTGTCCGAGGGGTCGTCCTGAAAAAAGCTTGGGAACCCCTGGGTTAGACTTTTCTATATTCATTCAGATGAGAAAAAGTCGGCCTAATTATACATCGAACCACTTATAAGAAGTCTAAATTCGACTCTGTGGTCTCTTGACGGAGTAGAGCGTGCGTAAAACGACGTATGGAAGCATATAAATGCTCTGTACACACTATTATTATTGTGAGCCGCCTAAAGGGGATTTGACGCGCATACTAATCATATCAGCTTTCTCATTCTCCACGATAATTATCACGCCTATCTTATCGAGATAAATCCGTTTTACATACCATTCTTGTCTGATATAAATCTGGTCCGTCAATGTTCGAAACGGAAGGCAGGTGTTGATTCTACATGAATAATGTATTAATACATGACTACCCTTTCACATAATATTGGATTAATGTCAGAGTTCTCGGAGTAGAAAAATCACAATATGACACTGATTGAATGTATGTTGTGAGAAAATTTAGCCCTGCTAAGAAGGCGATTTTTTATCTTCGCTCCGAACAAAGCTCAAGACAAAAGAGGCCACTGATTCTCCACGACGGAGCGTACGTAACCGCTTATCAAAGTCCGTACATTTGGAATGTTAAATCAGGCCTTTTTTCATATGATTTTGGCTGGTAACTGAGTGAGCTTATTAAATAAGCAAAGCAATCAATTTGTTCATTCATCCAAAAGTACGGACTTGGTTGCGGATCAGAGGTAACGTGAGCCCCCCTGCGGAGGCTAGTCTCATCCTCTAGCGCGGGGGTGTGTACGATTTTTTGTCAGTGGGCCAATCAGCTTTAGACATTATGTATTTTTATCAAGCGCCTTTTCAAACCTAAACTGTCGGATTAAGATTTTATGCTTGATGTGGGAAAATTGGAGTGGTGACAAGGGCCACACTTAATAGCTTAGTGGCCCGCGGGCCGCCTGCTGCACATTCATAATTCAGCGCGTAATGATCCTGGAACATCCTGCAAATCAGACCGAAAATTTTAAAAAAGGTTGAATTTTAATTGACAAACTAAAGAAGTTTTTTAGATTAAATCGAATCTCAGTTTTAAACTTGTAAAAAGTAATCAGACGTCGATTGAAAATCTTAAATTGGATTGAATTGTTGTCGTGATTCAATATAAAAATCCTGTAATTCTGACCAAAAGTTTAAAAAATGCGAAAGATTTTTTTCAAATTGTTTTATGTCGCGACTCTCGCTTCGTACAAGGCCATGTGCATGAGCCACTAATATCCCACGAGGCTGTTATTTAGAATGGGCGGAATAATTCGGATTCGGTATTAGATTGAAAACCCAGATTTTAATTAGTAATCAGACGTCGATCACTAAATATGATTGAATTGAATTAATTTATTATTCACGGGTATTTGCTCCTCAGACAAATTATAGAAACTGGCATTATGCAAGAAATGTCCCCAAGTTCCTACTTATCGCCAAACATGTCTATTGTTGTTACCCCAAACTCTCGTGATACCAAAAAAATACATGAAATTGAGTTTTCTATTATCTTCGTAAAATAATATTGGTTCGCAATGAGCTATGCACGCGCGCCTCAGCATGCGCCGATAAAGTAATGCTTTATAGATAACATCGCTAACGGAAAGAAAAATATAAATATCCGTTTCACCACAATGACGTTATTTTTCATCGCTTTTTATTGTATTGCGCGATGTTAGTTGCTTGACCACATTATTATTTACTGTGATTCGACTACCAAAGCCTCGCTCATCAATAAAAACAGTAATACTCTGATAATCAAAATATTAGAACCTAAAATGTTTATTTAGATACTCAAACCTTGGGTGTCGCTGCTTGATAACCAGTTTGGTTCCCTGCGGCTTCCCTTCTTCAGTGAAAATTTGTATTCAACATTCTTTCTTTGAACTTTGCATGTTATTCTTTTACTGGATGGAAAAATATACTTGACCTATGAGTTATGACTATGTCCGATGGACTACTCTCGCTTTTCATAGCACCGACGACGTGCCAAACTTGTCTGCTGCCCAGGGCGAGTCTCTGATAATGATGTCCATCGTCCTAACTTTAAAAATAATTCGGGAGATAAACAAATTATAGATGTTGTTTTACATTAGAATAAATAAATTAAAGTTCAAGTAAGAGTGAAATGTTTGTGATATTGCGCTATATCACGCAATGACGCGACGAGCACATATCGTTAAAAACATGTGCAATTAACGCGAATTATGGCCCTTTCCTAACATAGGGGTATCCAGAGATAAACAAAAGAAAATTCAATTTTGTTTTTGAATGCAATTTAGCGGCATTTTCAGTGAAACGTAAATTCTTACGTCTACCTCAAGTTTCAAAACCATTTTGTTCTATTCTTGAACGATTTACTAAAAACGGACGTTTCCTGACTAACGATACCCATTTCTCCAAGTCTAAATGAACCAACCGAAATAGATGGAAATGAGCTATTAGATAGCTTGGATTACTTCGACATCGAAGCAAGTCTGCAGTGGCAGCCTTTATCTAGCTTTCTTTGAAGCAGAAGACAAAGTTTTGTCAATATACACCCCCCCCCCCCCCAACAAATTTTGGGCTGGCTACGACCTTGTCCCCTAGGCCCGCCTCGCTGTTTTTAGTTGGGCCCCGACATCAAGTATTGATTCAATCGGTGTCTACCTACGCGTAATGCACCACCATAATTATATAAAGATTTAATAGTTCTTGGCATTTCAGTGGGGACTCGTAACTTTGCTCAGAGATGATTTTACTTTACTTCTGATGCGCCGCGATACTTCTATATGGTTTCAGTAAATCTTGGCATTTCAATGGTCGCCAATAACTTACACTTGCTTTGAGCGAATCTCTTAAAAATAATAAAAGAAGCCTTGTACATGATTTCAATAATGATAATTTAGTCACTGGAGCTATCAAAATAACGCTCAAATTTTAATTAATTTACAATTTTTTTCATATTGGTCGTTCATATCGATCGCGATTGACACCCTGTTTGATTCTCTTATGACGTTACATTGAACAATACACAGATTAGTTTTAATGAATTATGAATGAGTAAATGTGTTTAATACGTAACAACTGGACAACATATGTCAACTGTGACGCAAAAAACGTCACAGATGAATACCGTGATAATTCAATAATCATATAAAGACTTGCCGTCAATTAAGTATGTGTATATAATAGCTATGAATATTAAATATAGCGTTATTTGGCTTTGGATATATTGCAGTGCTTACCGTGTTCCCCCGAAAATAAGACTGGGTCTAATTTCAATTTTCTTCCGAAAAATAACACCAAGGCTTATTTTCGGGGGATGTATTTTCATAACAAAAACAAAATTACAAAACAGATAATTAGGAGATTTTCAAATGTACAAAAGATGAAAACCCATATCTATTTACTTATATAAATAACACGTTTTTATTCCAAATAGTCTCAAAACATAGATTATTAATCATTTAAAACGTGTAGTGATTTCTTGCTATCGACTAGGTCTTAATGACTAGGTCCTGTTCTAAGGGGCTTATATTAAAATGATTTTTGAAATCAGGGCTAGGTCTTATTTTCGGGGAAACATCGTATATGGCGAGACGTGTGCATTTCCGTATAACACGTTACCACGTTTTAAAATAAAAAATTGACAGTTATCCAGTTCGGGTTCAGAATGATTTGAAAATTTGAATTTCCAGCACAATCTGTGTTCTCACCCAAACCCTAATTGGATAATTACTAAGTTTTCAATTTGAGCTGTGGCGAAGTGTTTTCCTCAAATTTCACATTAGTGGCGGGGACTTTGTACAAAAGATCCAACCAATTTTCTCCAGTCAAGTACAATACATACTATTTAAACACTGAAGATAGCCACCGTTTCATACCGGTCGAACTGGGAATGTTTACTTGACTGGGAATGCCCTTATCAAAACAATTTCAAATATAGCTGAGTAATGCCCCACCACCGTTTAGTTCAAAATAAACCAAACTAAACACCAATTTATTGAGCTCTTCCTTTATTCCGTTTGTTTGATAGAGTTGGGTTATTGCCCAACTTTTCCGTATATTCTGAAATAACATAAACCCATTAACAGTAATCATTTGAATTAATCCCAAACCTGAACTGACAACCAAGTAATAGTTCCTGACATACCAACACTGCGAAGGTCTACCCACTAAGAAAAGAATGAATCCCAATATATTTAAAACAATTTACATTTATTATTTTCTTTCTACTTTACGCACAATAATAATAATAATATACAATACAGTACATACAGGGGCGGAAAAATTGCACATCTAACAAATGCAATATCCATCATATGTATAAGCCAAAGATAGTAGCTTTTACCCAAACATAGGGATGGCTAAAACCAGGACCGGGACTCTTAGTTTGACATGTTTTCAAACTGTTCAGGGTCAGCATCTAAATTTTGAATTTCCCAGAATATCAATGGGGATAAATAGAGAGAAAATTTTCTCAGGGACTCAAAAGTTAAAGGAGGCTTGAATACAAAGAGTTTTCATTGTCAAAAATGGATTTTTTTTAGAGTTCGAAGTTGAGTCAAAAGTGTTTATAATTGCCAGTCAGGGTCGAATTTTTCTCAACATGATGCTGAATGTAAATTTTCCCAGATACTACATGGATGGCAAAAACTGAAATATAGCATTTTGTTTAAGGCATGTCAAGTGAATTGATGGTAGTTTTAAAATACACGAAATATATACCATTCGAAAAATTAGGTTATATCCAAAAACAAAGTTATTTTTTGCCAATTTTAAAATTGAAGAATCAGAAAAATATCACCATATTAAGCTATTTATTTTGGAGAGCCCCTGCTCTCCAAACATTCGTCACCCAAGATTTATTCCTATTGGACGCCTAAACATTTTCTGAACACCACAGCCTTTATTTCAGTCATCCCTGGGCACAAAGAACAAAATTTCCAACAATCAAAAAAAATTATTATAACAAAAACTGATAAAGATGGATAGAGTCTAGCATAAATCAGACGTACCAAGGGATATTTATACAGTAGACAACATATAAGCATAAATGAAGAAAAGGTTTTATATAGGATGGCCCACTAGAAACTGCAGGATTCATATTTAAACAGAAGAATTTTTATTATTAAGACGTTTTTATTCATTGTGTCAAAATTTGGCTCTAGACTAGGCCCTGTAGATGTCACCTTGGCAGCCATTAAAAATGTCCATGAGTAAATAAAATTCAAATTCTTTGAAATGAATTTCTGAAAATTTGAACAAGGCTCTGTGTTAGTCTTGGACCCCACTTTGGAAACAGTGTTTACAACATTATTTCGATTGCCATAGAAAAAGGGGCAGTTTTTTCTATAGCATTAGAAAGGAAAGTACAACAAAAAGTCAGATAGTTTGTACATGACGGAAATTTTACTTCCAAGCCACTATACAGTATAAATCTATTTTGAATTTAAAATGATTTTCAAATTTGGAATAATCTTTAAATAATTGAATCGGGCAGATATACTGGTCATATCCATTTTTACAGGGAAATTAATTTAAAAATCAGCGCTACCATGACCAAGTATTGGTCTGAAAATTACAACTAAATGCAGAAAAGTAATTAAATCTCTAACTTAAGCGAAATACCAATATTTCAAACTGAAATCAGTGCTACCACGAAAACAGATAGGACTGCAAATTGTAAGAAAAGTTTTCCACATTTTAACAGACATATAGACTTATACAAGGAAACTTTAATAGTGCAAGAAACAAATATATACAAAGGCCGGTGGTCACGTACTTAAAACCGTTTTGCGAACCCCACAGAGTTTCTCAGATGAAAAGTGAAACATGTCACCAACTCAGTCAAAAAATCTTGCTAGATTTACCCATTTATTATTTAATTGGTTAATAATTCTTATTCGTGACATTAACTGGAGCGAAGGGTGTAATTCGCTATATAATTAAGAAGTATTTCCTGATAAATATAAAAATATTTGAATATATTGGAATCAGTCAAGTGGAATTTTTTTTGGTTATCGGGAGCCTTTAAACCAGGACAAAGTTTTAGACTTCTAAAGTAAAAGTATGAATTGTCAATTGTGCAGCAAGATTCTTGAATGTCTTAGAATAGCGATCTTTGATTTGTTACAGCCTCCTTGCATTACAAATCCACCAGTGCAAAAGCATAAGTTGGTCCCACAGACACATACTTTTTATAAATGTCATAATTTTTTTATTTCAAACATGGATGAATAAAACCCAACACAGAACAGACAATTATAAGAAACTCTGGTGGTAGCACAGTAAGCAGGGTTGGCTTAAACATCATTATTAAAGCCTTTTTATACATTAAAAATGCTATTGCAAAAGAAATCCCGCTAATTTTGTCAGTAAGTCTTTATTTTAACCACTTTAATATGAGAGGAAATCTTAACAGCATCCCCCACCGTCGCTCTGTTGCCGGGGACGATTCCCTGAAAGGCCTGATGATGAAGGGGAGTGCTGGGGGCCAATTTTAATCCCGTTTGCTTCGTTGTTGATGTCAAAAACCCCTTCCTGAATTTTTTCGTAAATCTCTTTGGCTGTATCAATGAATGCATCTTCTACGTTTGCCGCTGTCTTTGCAGATGTCTCCATGAATACGAGACCATGCTCCCGTGCAAACGCTTCTCCTAAAATAAAAAATTATTCTATAAAAGTCCTACTAAAAATATGTATATGTAACTAATTATGCACATTATATGCCATGTAAGTGTGTTGTAAAAAAATACATTTTATAAACATAACTTACAGAGTTACAAAAGCAAAACAATAAGCCTCGTGACAAAATTAAATCTAATCGCAATCTCAACAAATTCCTTGAGCAATTTTTTAGCTAATATATCAAAGTTTGGCTGTTTATTTAAAAAACAGACATTAATTCTTATACCTTCTTCCTTTTTGACTTCACGTCGAGCTTCCAGATCGCTTTTATTTCCGATTAACATGATAACCATATTAGATGAGGAATGTTGTCGAGCGTCCTCTAGCCACGTCGTCAGATGGTTGAAAGTATCACGTCTTGTGATGTCATAAACGAGTAGAGCGCCTGCGGCTCCACGATAATATGACCTTGTGATTGAACGAAATGACTCTTGGCCTGCTGTATCCCATATTTGTAGTTTTATCTGTTTTCCGTCAATTGTGATCATCCGAGCGCCGAATTCGACACCGATCGTTAAATCGTGGACAGGTTGAAATCTTTTGTCGGTAAATTGTAACAGAAGACACGACTTTCCGACGCCGGTATCTCCGATGATAATATATTTGAACAAATATGCGTACGACATTTTGCACAATTCAAAAAATACGACAATTCTAATGAGGATACGTAAATCACCAAGATTATTTAAACTAAATTTGAAGTCTGGAAAATTTTTTATAATAAACTTTTTTCATAACAAAAGAGATCAAGCTTCAGATTTTACCTATGAGTGCGATACTATTTCTGCGGATAGATTAAACTTGACTTCTACCAGTCTACTGTGTTAGAAACTCAAAATCTCACTGAATAAACATGTGTCTGGAAACATTTAGTGTATCACACATAAGATTATTTACACTCCAAAACTGCATAAGTTGCAAAACATATGGTGAAACTGTAAAATGAATATCAAAACTGATTACATACCTACTGGCATAGTATTATTAGGACTTTAAGAGATACACAATCTGACAATTCAGCAATTTAAATTAAAAGTGTTACCAAAAGAAACAGTGTGTGTTGACTCGCCTAAAAGCAGAGCAGCAGAGTGTAGCAACTGCCAGACTTCTGATACAGTTAGCCTGTGACCGCACGAGCCAATTTACAAATTCGGAAACTAGCGTTTCTCCCGCATTTTACTTAACAGGCTAGACTATATCTTATGCAATTAACGACTCTTTGAATACAAAACCTGATGCCGCCACATTAAATTAACACTGCGTGACTCACAAATCATTTTTAAAAAGTGTGTTTCCCATGGGCAGACTGGTTACACAACAGCTTGCCTGTTTCCGGTCATTAATGCTCGCAGACATGCGCGCAACGGGGTCCCATTGATGAGATAATTACAATACATAAGCCGTCCTATATTAACAGAATATTTGAACAACGCTAACAGCTTTTTATCTCTCATTAAAATGGGATTAAAATTGTTTATTTGAGCGAAAATCGATTGGTATAAGCAAGGCAATCCATCAACCAGACCTTCGCAGTTCACAAAGCAACAAACGTTGTGGTGGTGTAAGGAGCGTGATCGAAAACTGACAATGCTGTGCTGGGTTACTCATTTATTCAAGACATTTGAAACGACATATAATATGAGAAAGAATTTTCTTATATTCAAAAGGTAAGCCAATATTAAAGTTCAAATAACCTGTGGCCTCTAACCCGGTTACCGGTACCAGTCTATAGCTTTCTACATCCATGCAATAGATGACTCCAACCACTAATAACTACGACGTTGCGTGCGTCATGCACCAAGAATTACGTGACGTGACAATCGTATTGACGACGTTAAAATACCGTTGCCAGATAGTATTGCTTTGAAACATGTGTGATTTGGAAAAACAAGCTGGTCTTGCTTACACTAGAAATTTCAATTATTTAACGGCTATTAGGTTGTTACTTCAAACCACAGCGCCAACAGAAGATTCGAGAGATTCTTTCGCGACCCCTCATCAACTGCTAGGAGTCAAATGTTTTTCGTTTTTTTATTTATTACTTGTGTATTGTCGTGAAAAAATATCTGAATCTGATATGACCACGGTTTAACTATGCAAATCAAAATGCGCTTCCCAAGTTTAGTTTGTGATATGGATATTAACTGAAAATTACGATTTTGTGAGACAAAATAGATTTGTCTTTACTTTTTTTAGGTAACTTAACTTCACGAGCCGTGCCACTGCGGCCGCATTGGTTGCAGTGGCACAAGGCCGGCTCTTCTACGATTTTTGCAAAAGATAAACGCGCTTCGACACGGAATGGAGTCAAATACGGGATATAATTTACATATTAATCCATGGGGGTAGGAAAGCCGCCAAGACGACCCAATCATATGGCGAACCAAAGCCTGCCTCTCGTCCAATTGCCAGTTCATGTCAGGCATGGGATTAGTTCGCCAGTCATTTGTTTTCAGATAAATGGACTTGATGGCGGGAGAACCCGTGACCGGCCAGCGATTACGGGAAGCACCCTACGGCGGCGAGGCGTCGAGGAATTCTTTTTCACATCCAGGAGTTCTTTCTCTCATCCCTACATGGGATTCGAACCTGCAAACCCACGCAGGGTAATCATAGGTGCGGTGGCGAGCGTATTCCTTACGCTTAGCTCGATGCCCCACACTTCCGGAGCCCACCTCAGAGTCAACGACTCGAAGTTGTTGTACTTCAGCCGTTTGATCGCCCGATTTGGATCGTCAAAATCTAGTCTAAACAGTGGTTTATCCTGCGACCTATTTCTCAAATAATGTAGTAGACGCCCATCCATAAAAGTACAAGATTAAAAAATAAATATATATTTGGTAACTAAAACATGGAAACGTATTGCCAGTAATATAATAATGATATGCATGTATGGGCTCAGTGTTGAGTTATTACATATATATATATTGAAATATAATATCAGTAGCTAATGGTCAGCGGATCAGTTTCTTAAATTTCTCGCATTTTTGCACTTCTAGCTTATTAGCAATTAAAACGAACTCTAGCATAAGTTTATAAATAAAAAAGGCAAAAAAATTGTAAAAGAGGAATTATCAGAATAAAGCTGGTCGTTGATAAACGAGTTGCTTGACCAGTTGTTGCAGTTGTCGACGACACTGTGACTAAATACAAAAGTCTTGTGATTAAACGCTGGATATAGGAGTGTGAAACGCTGTTTGAGTGACATCTTGTGTCCCATCACTAATTAATTAATAACTCCCTAATTATACGACATTATTCGCGCCAAATCAATAGGCTGATAAGATAAATGCACATGCAAAATCCGGAGCAGATTCAATCTCTTTTTCGTGAGATATCGCGTGCATCTAACAGACAAACAGACAAATACCTATCAACCTACTTACCGATTAAAATCTATAAGTAATAACACTGGAATGATAAATAGGGGGATCTATAAGCCACGCGCCCTAGAATGTTAGAAACCACTGGTGTAGAAGTCGCAGATTCAAAATCTCAGATTCAAATCCCATGTCCACCATGTCACCCGGAGTATAATAAAGTTGGTGAGCGATCCCAAACCAAAAAGATTAGAATTGAAACCAATACTAGGATAAGATTAACGTACTGCCCCGGAGAGAACAAGAACGATGAGACAGATGGCTTAATCCCATGGCAAACCACGGCCTCTCGTCCGGTTACCAGTCCATGTCGTGTATGGGATTAGTTAGCCAGGTATTTGTTTTCGGAAGCATGGACTTGATTCCGGTTCTTTTTTAAATAGTAGGTCCTAGTGTCAGTGGTACTTGTAACTCGAAGTGAAAGGCAAAAAAAACTTCGTGTAAAATACTGCTTAGCGATTCGCCTGGTTTTCCGGAAAGCTGTTTAGTCTTTAGTTCACCCATTGACGTTTATTTTAGTATTTACGTCCAATATAACTCTGGGTTTGAAAACTATTTGTAGATGTCAGTTTTCTACAAAGCCCACACTGATATTACGACGTCTAACACATGGTATTTCCAACCTAATAATGAGTTTGAAGACTATTTGTAGTATCCACTTTGCAAAGGCCTAAAAATTACGTTTAACGCTTTTAACAGTGTATAACCATGAATGTCAGACAAATCCATCAATTTTTATTACATTGCAACGGCATTCAGACAAAGTCAAACTGGCGTATTACGACAGTTTGTGAGGTTACTTATCCACGTCTTACTTCCCCAATTGACGTCTTTCCGGAAAACCTCAGTGTGATGATATTTTACAAAATGCCAATCCGGAAGAATCCCGGTTTTGCTAAAATATGGTAACTCTTAAACATATCAGCGTTGTTTGTACAGTGCCTTGTTCCAAGTGGAGAGAGTGAAAAGCCCTCCCCCCTCAAAAAAAAAAACAATAAATCGCCAATCCTTCCTACCTTTTCTTCCATGAGGGGATATATGCTTTATCTTCGGTGAAGACGTTGGGTAAATTCTTCCTTCTGTAGTACGAGCGATATATCTTGGAGTACGAGTGCTTCGCCACCATTCCCACCAGTTTCCACTTGGAGTCGCTATATTGCTAGCCGTTGTCGATTTTGTTGAAGCTAGAATTGAATAGGATTTACAAATATATCTCGAAGGAGAGGAAAGTCCATAAGATGGCTATATCAACATTTTTTTATTCCGCCACATCTGCCGTCGAGCTCCTCAACAAACTTTGTGCTCTGAGGTTTCACGGAAACGAAGCGCCACTTCCATGTTCGTATGTCTTAGCTATCTCCATATGTCTTATACAAGATCAAAGCAATGCTAACCTTATTGAATACACATTACTCACATATTTTAAGGTTGAGGTGGTCGGAGTCTATTCCCTCGTTGTTGTATCCGGAATCTTCTTTATTTTGTGAGTCCATTCCGCGCATTGTCGAGGTAAGTTTCCAAACAAGCGAAGTTGTTGAGCTTGTAGAAGTAGATAAGGTTGGCAGTGCTGGATCTGAGAAAAGAATCTAAGTTATTAAATCAGGGGCATTCAACCTACCGCGCGCGGGCCAAATACGCCCCAGAAGGAAAAATTGTCCGGCCCACGGTGATGTGTCAATTTTAAATGAGGTGAACCCGCGAAGCGAGTTTTTAATTTAGTTTAATCTGGTATGTGCGAGTAATTCCAATTCCTCTGCGTAGCAAAGCCTATACCTGAGTCCAATTTATTATCTATGCCTTCAACGTTACAATGTCCTAACAGTTAGCTTGTGCAAAGCAAACAAACACGTCATAGGTCAATAACCAAATTTTTCATGCCTGGAACTACTAGAAAGCCTATGTTAAATGAAAGTGCGGCCTGCGTTTTCACCCAGTCATTTGTATCTGGCCCTCCTGTATTAAAGGTTGCACACCCCTGCTTTAAGTCGGCTACTTGGGTTACTAGGGCTGGGCATCATCGAATACCTAATGATTTGAGAATCGAATCAAATATATATTTTTTTCGAATCGAATCTATAATACTTGGAAGATATGTAGTTGCATTGACTGTTTTATTGTAATAAGTCCTTCAGACACATAAATCAGCGAAAACACATAATCGAACACTCAGTCAATAACTCACTTACAAGACAAAAGTCATATGTTAGAATTACATATTAAAAATATGGCTTGAATAAAATAATGAGGGATTTGCCTAGACCTGCAGTCGGACAAAAAAAGAAGCCGGCAATTAGAAATTTTGGTACTCCTGAAGTATGCGCACCAAGATGTCGCAATACCTGAACCCCAACCTGGTACACAACGTGAGTTCAGGTTGTGCGCCATCTTGGTTACGGAAATAAACAAGGAAATCTATTCTCGGGAAACATCCACTGCAGCCTCTTATATATATATATCAGTGAGTGATTATGCAGAGCCTAGTTCGGAGTGTAAAATGTCGAATGTACAAAGTTGGAGAGTAGAGCCATAGTTGTCAAATTTGACGTAGCGTGGTTGAAATCAAAATTTTGATCTTCGCAGAAGGAAATGAAGATCGGGATTTTGTTTAAAAGTTCATAAAAGTTTTTGTCGCCAAAACATTTTTATATATAGTGAGTCTCACTTTTATAGTAGTCCAAGTCGAATCCATCCTCTTTCTTGTCAGTGCTTGTTTTATGAGAGGTCGATGTAAGTTTCCAGTACCATGGAGTTGTGGTGGGTCGTGTTGTAGCTGGTGGCGTCGTGGCTAAAGAATCGCAAATATATTCCTTGGTTATTGATTTGGGTCGCCGTATCAAATTCAGTATAAGAAAATTAAAAGTAATAGTCTTCTACAGACTTCTTAAAACTTGAAGTTCTGAAAATTTTGAATTCTATGAATACGTTGGTCGCGGACAAAGCCTTTTCACGACAATTCAGCAAAACGGCCATGTCCGCTATGTCTCCAAAAACATTAAATCTCTCGTATCTCACATAACAAATACCATTCCTAAGTTAAGTCAAGTCAAAATGGCTTGCTATGGACCAGTTCCCACCATTTTATGAATCGGGCCCCCTTCCGAGGGGTTTTAGCTCTCACGGTCTCGTTTATGATTCCAGTGTTATTTTGATTGATCTTTATTGACAAAGTTAAAACACATGGTGAAATAACCTTATTAAGCAATGAAACTAGGAATAAGTGGGAGTTTTCCCGATAAGGGAAATGTAAAATTAGTTACGCGTCTAGCAGTGTGGCCCTTTTCAACCGCTTGGGGGCCCCTGGTTATGATCCGCTGTCATGGACCGCAGGTTCAAAACCTGGTTAGCTTGTGATCAGCTATAGTTAGACTAGGCTATCCAAACCCAAAGCGGCTTTCAATTGCTTTGAATCTTGTTCGGGGCTAAAAGATAGAAAAATAGGCAATGTATCTCACTAATAACAAATCTTACTTTTGTAGGAGTCCATGTCGAATTCATCTTCTTTATTGTATAGGGTTGTTGTATGAGAAGTGAATTTCTTTGCGGTAAATCGTGTTGCTGGCGGGGCTAAAAGAAATCGTGAATTTATGTTCCGGAAACTTTATTCTGCAACGCTTTACATTTTCTGCTATGCGCCAGATTAATAAAATACACGGTAACATTGGACATTCAGATTGTAAAAGAACACCATGTTTCCGGTTTCCGTGGGTATTGGTTTGGAGTGAAACAACGAAACCATATTGTGAAAATTGAAAAGAGTATCTTTCCATCTTCAAGTCTGAAAACGATGGTCCAAACCCCAACTACAAGAATTTAGCAAAACAAATAATATGTATATTTCGTGCCCGTTGAACAATAAAAACCCTCATATCTCATGAAGACAAATCTCACTTTTATAGTCATCCAGGTCGAATTCATCTACTCGCTTTTCCGTGTTTGTTTTAGGAGAAGTCGTGGCTGAAAAAAATCGTAAATTTATGTTCCGGAACTTTCATTATGCAACTTTTATATTCTCTGATATGCATCAGATTTATTGAAACACGGTAAAATTAAAAATTACAATTTCTGATACGCGTTTGTAAAAATTATCATGGTTCCGGTATACCGGTTATTGATTTGTGACGTCCAATTGTTGCGGAGGAAAGGATAGGATTTACATATTTATCCCGGGGGACGGAGAAGCCAATAAGACGGCTTAATCATATGACCATCCACGGCTTCCCGTCCAGTTACCAGTCCGTGTCGGATATTGTTGGCAATTTAGTCTTGTCTCTTTAGTTTTGAGTCTGAAGAGTTTAGAAAGCGTTTCAAGGTATGATATATTTGAACCTCCTGAAGTATGCGAACCAGGATGGCGCACAACCTGAACTCAGGTTGTGTACCAGGTTAGGGTTCAGGTTGTGCGACATCTTGGTGCGCATACTTCAGGAGTACCATATATTGTTATGTATAATACGAAAAAGTTGGGTTGCGACCCTCATCCTCATGGCTATGCCACCACTGTAAATATCCATGCTTGGACCCTTTCCCTTTTACGTGAAATTTTTAATCCAAATTAATTATTCTTGTCCCCGTTATTCTCATTTAAATAAAAGGCAAATTTTACAAACAATCGAATAAAAGGAATTATGAGGTCGTGTTTTCTGGCGTCATGGCGTTTTATTAGTCTTGTCAATATTTTTAGACTTGTTTCATATCTTACGGGGCTCCGTATGATATCTCTCTCTGGCAGTATGTTACCAGTTTTTCATTTTAGAGAGGTTTTTTGAAATCCAGGGGAATGGGAAATATTTTGCTATTAGCGATAGAACTACATATGCATATGTAACTTGTTAAAATGTGTTATGTATTTGGCAGGCTATCTGCACTGATGAATATGTCACTTTCTGGATATTCAAATACATTTATACTGAAGTAAGGTATCCAAAGTGCGATATAACACCTTAAAATTTGGGGGTTACAGTTTTAGTGGATTTCCAACTCCTATATACTGAAGTAAGGTATCCAATGTGCGATATCACACCTTAAAATTGGGGGGTTACAATTTTAGTGGATTTCCAACCCCTATAGAGGGGGGTAGGGAAATTACTGCCCTCTTGGGTATATAATAAATTCCACGGTATTACGATTTGACCATAGGCAATAAATAGTTGGAAAGCTGTCTTCTCATGCTAGTTGTAAGATCAGTGGTTGTTACAGATGGATGAATTTGATGGTGGAGGAAGCTATAACACCACCAGTGGTATGTTGTCCTCCCTACAACAGCAATGAGTCCAGCGATCCTCTCGCATGTAACCCCCTGTATCACAAATAACAATCGTTACATCCTTTAGTTTATTAATTTTCATAACAATTGGATCCACACCATTTATTTATACACGCTTGGTGTTTCATATTTGCACGAAATACAACGTAAGGTATGACGTAACTACTACATAAAATGACGTCATAAAGCGGCAAAACATTTATTATCATCATGCACTACTTTTTTAAAATAAAAACATACAAAACATAAATTATTCAACTATAATTACTCCAGAGCAGTGTGCCCATCCAGAGATTTTTGATTTCGGGATTATAGGCAATTTGTTTAGATTCACGACCTCAAACTAGGGGTCCCTACCCCCCCAGTAGATCGCGAAAGGGCTCATATGGGGTTGCGGTAAAATCTTTTTTACCAATAACTAATGTCAAAACAAAATATATTAGTTTCGTAAGATTTAGAACCAGTACTAAGAGCCACCATCACCGAAATTCAATCTTTTGTGCAAGATTATGAAAGCACGTTGTTCCTAATAAAGGATTTGTAAATTTTATTATTTCTGTATTATTGAATTTTTCTCTATTTTTATTTTATTTAGTTCCTTTGAGTGTAATAAATTTTGCTGTGCCGAGTAGGTTGTGATCAAAAAAGTTTGAAAAACACTGGTTTAGACTTAAGCGAATCCAGGATCTAAATAGGCTGAAGGGGTTTGTTAGAAAAAATATGAATGTGTGACATCATACTAAAGATGACATCATCTTATCTAGAAAGTGACATCATACAAGGCTTAATAACGAAAAATAATTGAATTTGATTCAATTTATTGGGAAATACATCAGGTACCACTGCTCTGCATTCACTTTGTGAAAAATAGTTATTGTGACGAAAGACAGCATAATAAAAATTAAAAAAAATGAACTTTTTGAGAAAATTGTTTTCTGATCAGCGTTATATTTGAGGAATTGTTGAGCCACAAAAATTATACATCACATAAGTACCGAACAATTGACAAAATCAAATCTTAGCGAAAACGTCACATAAAAGACAATTATTGCCCCATGTATCCCAATGAAAACAACCCATAAGTTACTCAGGGTGAAATAAATTGGGTAGCAGTGTTGAACAAGAAAGCTTTCAGGCTTTCAAAAAAGAGAAGTTCCTTAAATAAGTGTGGTCGATTGCACAAAGCCTTGTCTAAAAGAAACATCATTTATTGCCAGTGTACCCAACAAAAACAATATGTACTTAATACTCACTGTACCCCACATTCCCAATAGGTTCCATTTCATGGATTTTTCAAATTTTTCATTTTACTACTGAACTTAAGGGGATATGTAACAAAATAAAAGATGGCAAGTGTTTCACGGTAATCAAAAAAAATAAATTATCCGGTAAAATGTTAAAGTTACCCTTTCGATTAATTATTTATGTTTCAGTGCATAGTGCATTACCATAATTCTATATAGATCCGGTTGCTTTTCGCATTCAAGATATCGTAACTTTGCTCTGAGTCTTTTTCATTTTTAATTGAGTATGCATGGTAATTGTCTCAAAATATAATAAGTAAGGTTTAATATTAAAATTGTTCAATATAGCTCAATGCAGTGATTCCTGACCATTTATGCTCATGGCTCCCTTCTGGAGGCTTTTGGCACTCATGCCCCCTCCCCCCTCTGTTTACAGTTCCAGTGATATTTATAGCATTACTTTGATTGGTAGATTCCAAATCCCATTATTTTCAAACAATTCATGCCCAACAAAGTGAAGACACCCTGTGAAATAATGAAACTGGAAAGAATGAAAAGTTTTCTTGGCAAGAGAAAATAAAATCAGTCTTGCGTCTTTGTGGCCTCTCAAGGTCATTGAGGCTTTGTACCTTAGCTAGGCTGATAAGTGAAACGTAACGAAGTCTTCTAAAAAATTCTGATCTGAATTGAAACTTTGATTGAAATAGCATAAGCAATATTTACATCAAATCAAATATATAATGGACGGGACGCTTATGGTTCACAAGAAGATAAACCATATTATCAGCTTTCCTCTCTCGAGTATGAATGTGATAACATACCTTCATAAGGTACACTTTAAAAATTCACAAAAGTATATCAATGAATCCCAGTTTTGAGCCTCAAAATTTTTCAAGCAAACAAAATTTAAAAACGCAACTAATGTGATGTCACAAAAAAATTGTCATGAGAAATAAGATAAATTCCAATAAAAACATTCTTCCTCTGTATTCCAAGCTTAAGAGGAAATGTCATGGCCATAGTGTTATTCAGATAAACATTGATAAAAGATAAAATGTTTGGCAATAAAGTCACGAGTCTCAAGTAAAATTCAAGTACAATCATTCATCAAAAAGCCAGGTCTGCTGTGAACCCTTGTTATAGAATTTCTCCCTCTGGAAAGTTTCACCCATTGAAAATTTCCTTCATGGAATATTTTACGGAGACGAGACTTAACCGTATTATAAAGAGACTTTCTTGATGAAAGTGGGATTTTTAGACTAGTTTTTAGGGCCCTCAAAAGCCCCCCCCCCCCCCCCCCTACAAGTGAGAGGCAAGAGACAAACTCCTCAATAGGCTTATACACCAGATTCAGAAATTATAACTGTCAAAGCTTGAATGATTAATTTGTCCTAATCATTTGTTCTACAGTAGTGGGCTGTTTTGAGAGATTTTCTGATGTTTAATCTAAGGTTCGGCGATATGTAGGAAAATCCCCAAAGGTACTGAAATTTTTCATACATTGTTTCTGATGTTCAATCTAGAGACCAATAAGTAGGGGAATCCCCAAAAGAGGAGGTACTGAAAACTTTCCATATTGTTGTTATAAACATATGATTCAGAAATTACACATATAGAGAGAGGGTTTTAGACAGAAAGGCAAAAGCTCGAATTTTGAAATGGTTTGCTTCAAGCTAGCATCTGATCATAGTTCAGCTTGAACCAAAGCAGCATTCACCAAAGTATTTAAACAAAAACAAGTTCAAAATAAAAAGCATATCATTCAAATTTTTTAAAAACAGCTTATTCAAGTTTCGCCCTTTCGGGTTGAAACCATCGATATAACAGATTTAAGTATCTTTATACAGTAGTAGTTGGAGTCGGAGCTACGTTGTTGGACGGTGGTGAAGGAGCGCGACCTGCTTCTGGAGTCGCCGAGGTGTATCCCTTATCTTTCCCTTTCGAATTGCTAAAGGCTTTGTAGCCGAAGTAACCACCGATCCCTCCGAATGCAAGCAGTGCAATAACTATAATAGCTATAGCCCATGGTGGGAAAGGTACATGGGGTGATGGGGTGGACGACGTAGGTTTTCCTCCTGTAGAATCTGAAATTGTTTTCAAAAAGTTAGAGTGATGTTTTTCGGAAAAGAAGAAAGTCGATAAGATGGCTTAATCATATGGCAAACCACGGCCTCTCGTTCAGGTCCATACCAGTCTATATCAAGTACGGGATTAGTTAGCCAGTAATTTTTCACAGATGCATAGACTTGACTTACGTAATTAAATTCAAAAGAAATTTGCTCAAAGAAAGGTCACGGACACTCACAGGCAACCACACTAAAATGACCGAAACTACCAAAACTGGCGAATCATAGTATAGAATTGTGCATCCGTAAATATGGATCGAGACGTAAAGCAGTTTATGTTGATATGATCAGAAGACATTAGGAGGTTGTGAATTGCACAAAACTGCCACGGAAAAGTTTCATTTTCATGATTTATATGCTAATTCAATCAATGCAGATTATGAGTTTATTTTTGTGCCTATAAACAATCATAAAGCGACTGCTGAACTGAATGATAGATATTTCCAGTCATACTTTTATCCCAACAATACCTTTAGCAGATTTGCCTATTATATGCCAATTTCTAAACCCAAACAGATAAATAATTTATTCAAGAAAATGGAGTAATAATTTTGCATAGCAATTTAATTCATCTTGCGCAGCAAAGTTTAGGAATCAACTGATATAATGCACTGTTATCGAAGCATGCATGAAATAAATATATATAACCTGTAGTCGATGTGCTGGTAGGGGTGGCTGGAGTCCCAGAACCTGATAATATGATAGATTGTTAGAGGTATTATTTGTACCAAGCACTTAAAACACTAAAATAATTGGAGGTTTATGAGGCATTCTCAAACGCTTATTCCAACAAGATAGGATTAGGATTCAATCTGTGGGAGACGAAAGCTTATAGAGCATCTCTTTGAGTTACCAGTCCATGTCCGGTATTGGATTAGTTAGCCAGTTATTTGTTTTCAGAAGCAAAGACTTGTGGAGGAAGCCGTAACAGACAAACGGTTACGTGAACCACTCTTACGATCAGCGAAGAGCAGCTATCCTCTCGAACATAATTATCCCACAGCGGATTCCAAACTACACACCCATGCAAGGTAACCAGAAATCTGATGACTAAAGAGATTCTAGAGCTCAACATGATGTCAAGCATGGGCCTTGACAAACAGATGTTGGCATTAAAATCTACTAGGAATGGAACATTTTTGATTAGGTTTTTGTGACTCGACACCCCCATGGTGGCTGGCATTGGGTGGAAAATTTAACCTGCAATTCTACACAGTCAATGATGAAGCCAACAAACCTTCAAATAAAATCTTTTGAAAAGAAATAAAATGAGGGTAATTTAACAAATAAAAGAAACAAAAAAAGCAAAATAAAAAAAACTTATACCACCATTTATATATATCAGACAGCATAATCACATGCAAATTTAAACCTGGATATTCTGCCACTTTGAACCATACTAACATAAGGAAGCATGAAACAAAAGAGTTTTGGCTTTGCAAGTGTCGAATGGACAAGAGAAGCAAAACAAAGAAACTGGTAGCGTTTTTTGGCAAAGATTTGCAAGGATGGCCAAAATGAATGAAATTTCCAAGCACGCTTTGAACTTTTAAGAAAATTATATCAAATCAAGGGCACACACGTTCGCTCAGAAATGAAGAAGACTTATCTCTGAGCGAAGTTTTTAGCAACCAATGAAAAACTACTGTAACTATAAATAATTAAGGCGTTGAATTACATGTTAATAAATACGGATTAATGTGAGAATTGGAGAATTTCATGTGATGAAGTAGTGAATTATGGTACTCATAAGTGGAGTTCTTGGAAAATTTGTTGTTTTCGGAATAGTAAATATGAATATTTGGAATGGTTTCCTTTGACTTACATTGCACATAGGAAGTTTACACCAATGAGGGAGTAAATTTTGAACTTTGCCCAAAGATTGTTTTCAAATGTATTCATATATTAGAAATTATTCAAGTACCCCTTTTTTCTACCCCAACATCCCACATGCAAAAATATCATTTTGAAATTTGGCCACCCTTGCTGACTTAAATTCATTAATTTAAGCATCTTTAGACACATCACAAGCATGCGACAACAATTAGACCTGGCTTCTCTACTCGTCCTTCTATATCACTGGTGGTGGTGGTAGGAGTCTCTAGAGAGGTGGTGGCAAGAGTCCCTAGAGAGGTGTTGGTGATTGGAGCTGAATTAATGATTATGATATGAAATTATGAAGCGCAAAAAATTTGCAATTTCGATTCCAAGTGATTCAAAAGTCCTGCTGCACACTAACGCTAACACTAAATGTATTTCAGTAATGTTTCTTCCTCTTGGCCTACCTCAGATCACATTTAGGATAGGATAGGATTTACATATTTATCCCGGGGGAGAGGAAAGCCGATAAGACGGCTTATCCATATGGAGAACCACGGCCTCTCGTCCGGTTACCATTCCAAGTCGGGTATGGAATTAGATTTACTGTATTGTTTGTTTTCGAAAGCATGGACTTGGTGGTGAAGGAAGCCGTAACCGACCAGCGGTTACGTGAACCACCCAACGACGGCGAGGAGTCCAGCAATCCTCTCGCACATAACCATCCCTGCATGGGATTCGAACCTGCGAACCCACGCAGAGTAGTTAGAGGTGCGGTGGCGAGCGTATTCCTAACGCTTAGCCCGTTGAGCCACACCGCCGCGCCAACAACAAGAAAAGCAGTTACATGCATATTTGAACAATGGGTGTAACACTATGAAAGTTAAAGAATCAATAAAATTTCTCAATTATTTGACGGCGTAAAAGGGGGGGGGGGGGGTGGACGAAAAAAAAGGGTCATTGATCAGATCTCTGTTTTAAGTTTAGCAATTGAATCTGAACAATGGTGGTATGTGTTTCTCAGCATTGGATGATGCAAACCAGAAAAGTCGTCTATGTTTCAAAATTAATTTGTCACGTTTTTGACTGTTGAATTTGATTAGATTAGTCTTTAAAATTAATGTGTATCAAAATGACACAATTCCAAAATTTCGTATTATGTAAGTGCACTGCACACTAACGCAAATATATTTTTGTGACACAAAACATAAGTTTTGTCTGTGACATTGTCATATAGTTGAAGTCAGGGTTAGGGAAATCCTTAAATCCCCGAGTCGTAAGTTAAACCACGAGTCAGTCGAAGTCAATAACTGATTAACCGAAAGTTTTAGTCGCTGGGATTCAGGTACGGGCCAGAGTCCTTAAATCAGTCGACTTGAATTACTTCATTCATTCATCATGACATAAGTCATTCTTGAATGGTGACTGAGTCCAAATCACATGTCAAAGATATTTATATTTGAAGTTGGCCTTCAGTCAGATGGAACGTTACAGAAATACGAATGTGTTAGTGAAAAGCAAGACTCTTAGATCAAAAATGATGAATATTTTATTTCTCGCTTTTTTAAATCCGCGAGGCACAGAGATGGATAAGTAGTTAATCTCACAGAGAAATAGGTTTTTGTTAGTGTGCAGAAAGACTCTTGAATCAAATAGAATAATCATATTTACTCTTGCTGGAGCATCCTTGCATTATATGCATGCGATTTACCAGAGAAAAAATTATAGAGGAATGATAAGTACTAGATCAGCCCCTCATAACCCTGATTTGGTAGCTAGAATCTCAAATTGGCTTCTATTACGAGAGATCAATGGTTCAACTTTTTTCTAGTTCGGGGTTCTTAATTTTTATTCTGTAACTCTAAGTGATATATACCACGTATTTTAAAAAAGCGCTAGGTGTAGACAGTTTCTCTAAGTGAAAGCAACATAACATCTGTAATGCAACAGAGTAGTCGGAGAGTAGGTTTCAAACTTCACTCTTAAAAAAGCTCTTGACAAGATGTCACTGATAGTTGCTATTATTGGAATAACAACGTAGCGAGTTAGACGTATTACACCATAGTTAGGTCAGGTTGACCCTGAAAAATCTGATGTTTCCTGTCTGTGAATCAAACATGCCAGGTGCAATACCGGAGGCCAATCTATCTTTGGAAGTACCATTATTTATTTAGTTTGGTACTGAAGGCCCAATTTTCTACATTATGGATAAACTTGACACTAAGTGTCTGGAGTCTTTAATTTGTAATGCTAACATAAAGTAGGCGTGAGAAATACCACCACCGGTATTTTTAGTTTAAATATTAACTCCCATTGCCTTGTAGGACCTTGTAGTAAATTTTTCAGAATTTATGGATAAACGGGACGCTAAAGAGTTTTAATAAAATCTGGAACCTTCGGTTTGCAATGAAAACATATAGTAGGTACAATGAAACCGCTAGTATTTTTAGTTTCAACATCAACCCTTCACTTAGTAGTGCTCAAGTAATTTTTCTGGATTGGTTACCCCTAAACATAACATTAGCCAAGGCAAATTAACATTTATACGCCGAATTACACCAATCATTATAGATAATAAGCAAGCATAACATTGAATTTTGCTTTGAAGGACAAAGGCATGCATCATGCTGCGATAATGACCTGTAGCTGGGCTTTCTGTCGATCCCGGAGATTGAGTGGTGGATGGAGTTGTAGATGAGATGATGACAGAAGAAGCTGAATACGCATTGGTAAAAGTAAGTCACACAAAACTGTTCCAATATCTCATAAATTTTAGGTAAAATAATCCCATAGCATTCAGGACTTAAAAATAATAATAAGCAATAGCCTTCTCCAATCGACAAGCACTAAAAATTCAAAATCAAATGCCAATAAGTTGTAAAGAAAGAGATTTCTCCCTACCCTACAACAATTAGGCTAAACAGTTTATATGCCTACTTTGTGCCCAATAATATGTGCTTTAGAACTGATCAAACATGATGCCTATTAAAGTCACTTCAATATCAGGATAACTTCAATATTTAATTTAAAACTTCAATAATATTTATCTCAGGAGAGAAAACGATGATTCTTCCCTCCAAGTCATTCATATGAACCAAATAACTAATTTACTATTCTAATACTTGACTAGGGCTGGTAATCAGATGAGAGGCTTTGGTTCGGCATTAGATTAACCCATTTCTTCAACTTTCCTCCCACCCCGATAAACCTATTTGGTATAAGTTTGAATCGGAATCTCAAAATATCATGTCTCCTTATCATGCTTTGGGGTTCAAGTAAGCATATGAAATAGGATTTCTGTTATGTGACACGAGTAGAAGTAGACGTGCAACAATAATACAACAATATTAATTTAAATTTTTTTAAATATTATCAATTGAAATTTACAGTGATTCGTGCAAATTACACTGATGATAATTCAGAATATATTTCGTACTTAATTCAACTTCTAACACTGATTAAAAATAGAGTTATGCATAAATTACTTTAACTATTGTGTGTTACTAAATTAAATTTTTTTGTTAAACTATATACTTTTTCTTCGTTCCGCGAGGAATTTTATTGTTTTATTATTTTTCTGTCGGCAAAGCCGATAGTTGGTTGCTTGAACGTTTTTTTTGGTGTTCATTATTTTTTGTTCTAGTCTGTCCATAAACACTGAAGTACTTTCCTTAAACACAGGTTATTATTTATATTTCATGCATTCTCGATATTCTGTTGCCGCCCGCGAAGTCATTCTTTTATACTACAGCCCCACTAAAATCGTCCTTTTTCTGAATTACATGTCCCAAGTTCTAGCCATATTCAAATTTGACGGCATCAGGAAGTGAAGTTTTAAATTGGTCAGAAAAAAAAATGTGCGTCATGCAATAATATTGACCTGTAGAAGTTTGCGTGGGTTCCACAGACCCGGTGGTGGTCTGAGTCTCAGATGCAGCGGTGGTCGGAGCTGAATAAATGCAACTAAATTTATGATATATACTTAAAATATGATAAACTTCATGCCCTTTTTTACTGGGGAGGTTCTGACCAGTGACGTAGCCAGGGGGGTTTTCGAAGTCAAAACAGATTTGAAGTTTTTGGAAGACTGAAAAAGTCGCTAAAAACGTGTGCAAATTCCGACGCTCAACTCCCCTGGATATGCCCTTGGTTGAACCTACGACTATTTTCCATTTTAGACACGACTTTCATTCCACACAAGGCTATACCAAATTTATTACATTCTTGATGAGGTGGTGGCAGGAACGTAGCTAGGGGGGTTCTGAAAATATTGAGCCTACAGCCCTTTTGAAATGTTAGATTATTTCTACACCCTATATTAGTAATTCTAAATCACCCTTCCCTAGTTCTAACTATCACCTCTGCAAAAATCATTTTAAATTTAGCGGAGTCAGGAGGTTGGTTCAGGTAAGACTGCGATGTCGCACAAATTTGTTCAAAAAATAAAAAAAAATTGTGCCTCATGCAATGATATTGACCTGTAGAGGTTTGCGTGGCTTCCAACATACCGGTGGTGGTTTGAGTCTCAGATGCGGTGGTGGTCGGAGCTGAATAAATGTAACTAAATATATGATATATACTTAATATATGATATACTTGGCGCCCTTTTTTACATTTCAAGCAGGGGGGTTCCGACCAGTGACGCAGCCAGGGGGGTTTTAAATGTCAAAATCCTATTGAAATTTTTGGGAGACAAAAAAGTCGCTAATAACATTGCGAATTCCGATCATTGGCCCCCCTGGTTGAATCTACGAATATTTTTTATTTTAGACACAACTTTCATTCTACACAAGGCTATGCACAACAGCCAATGTAAGGTAACAAACTTTATTGTTTTTCTAGTTCGGTATTGCCTGCTCAATTTACTACATCCTGGTGGCAGGGACGTAGCCAGGGTGGGTTCTGAAAATATTGAGTCTACAGCCCTATTGAAATGTTAGATCATTTCTTCACACTTTATTAACAATTCTAAATCACCCTTCCCTAGTTCTAACTATCACCTTTGCAAAAATCATTTTAAATTTAGCGGAATCAGGAGGTTGGTTCAGGTAAGACTGCGATGTCGCATAAATTTGTTCAAAAAATTGAAAAAAATTGTGCCTCATGCAATGATATTGACCTGTAGAGGTTTGTGTGGGTTCCAACATACCGGTGGTTGTTTGAGTCTCAGATGCAGTGGTGGTCGGAGCTGAATAAATGTAACTGAATATAATGAACTAGCACATGATTTCAGGAACGTAGCTAGGGCGGTTCTGAAAATATTGAGTCTACAGCCCTATTGAAATGTTAGATTATTTCTTCACCCTATATTAGTAATTCTGAATCACCCCTCCCAAGTTATCGCCATCACCTCTGCAAAAATCATTTTGAATTTGGCGGAATCAGGAGGTTGGTTTAGGTAAAACTGCGATGTCGCATAAATTTGTTCAAAAAAATAAATAAATTGTGCCTCATGCAATGATATTGACCTGTAGAGGTTTGTGTGGGTTCCAACATACCGGTGGTGGTTTGAGTCTCAGATGAAGTGGTGGTTGGAGCTGAATAAATGTAACTGAATATAATGAACTAGCACATGATTTCAGTAGAGAAATGAATTCAATTACTTTCCTATTGCAGTCGAAATTTGGGTGTTGAACGCAGGAATTTTCAACGGCATGGGTCTAATATTTCTAATATAAGTTTACGCAACAGCTAGTCGATCGAAAAAGCATTTCAAGCTACGACAAATTGCTATACTTCATGCCCTTCAGGAGTCATTCTCAACAGACAATCACAGAAGGCCTACATAAGCCAATGATTGCTGCTTGATTATTTATGTTCGGAAATATAATCTCAGAATCTCTTTAAAATCATCGCTGTGGAGCCGGAGGTAGGTGTGTTTCGAATAGTATTGGAGACTTATTTTGGAGTCACTGGATTTGAAAAAATGGAATTTCAAAATTTAATGGTGATATTTTATCAACAGAACCCTAGTTCTAGCTATACCCCTAGTTCTAGCTATCACCTCTGCAAAAATCATTTTGAATTTAGCGGAATCAGGAGGTTAGCTCAGGCATGATTGCGGTGCTGCATAAATTATACATTCATTCAGAAAAAAACTGAACTGAAATTGTGCGTCATGCGATGATATTGACCTGTAGGGGTTTGAGTGGGTTCCACAGCACTGGTGGTAGTTGGAGTCTCAGATTCAGTTGTGGTCGGAGCTGAATAAATGGTAGTAAACATGAATGAACAAGCACATGATGGCGATGGAGGTTTAAATTTAATTACTTTTCTATTTTGCAGTCAAAATTATCCCGAACAAATCTTTACGTGTTTCTCGAGACTTAGTGTGAAAACATATCAATTCAGCGCCCCTTACCCTATCTCCATCTTTTCACACACGGAACCTGGGAAATGGACGTGCCATAAACTGACTATTGTACATATCGCCGTTGTGCCGTACCTATTTGTCTTGTGTATTTTACTGGAGTTTTATTTGTAGCGTCAATTTCATTTCTGTTGTCCTAGTATAACGCAGCAGTACTAAACTGTTGTTATCATTGTTAGGGGTACATGTCGCACATCTGTGTCTTAGGCCAGTGAGGTCCTAAACATGTATCCCGTCTCTTTTTCACTGTTCATTATTATGCAGATACTGTTACATTTTTGAGGCAAATAAACATACATACATACAAATTAGGGTGTTGAACTCAAGAGTCGTAACCAGGAAATTTTAACGGCGGGGCATCTGAAATTTCTAATTGTCAAGTCAGACCATAACAGCTAGCCCACTGGTTCTCAACTGCTGGGCCATAGAGACATGTAGGCCACAAGCTTATCAAAAATTACTATGGTTGTTGAAAAGTTTAGTTTGATTTGTGTCATTATAGTCAAATTTTTATTGTAGTAGCAATGAATGATGCTGTTGCTTTTTATTCAAATTCTTGAAGTAAAAGTATTTATTTTTGCAAACAGAGTCTTGTTTTTCTTGTAGTTTTTCCCTTGCATGAGAAAGTCAGTGGGCCACAGAATTTTTATGAACGAAAGTGGGCCACGAAAGAAAAAAAGTTGAGAACTACTGAGCTAGCCAGCCTAAAAAGAGTTCCAAGCTACGATATATATTGCTTTGTATGATACGGAAAATGTTTTTTTTTCTACATTTCCAAAAAGGGGGTTGCGACCCTCGTTTCTAGTTACGAATAATTGCTATATATGATACAGAAAAATGTGACCTCCTGAAGTATGCGCACCAAGATGACGCACAACGTGAACTCAGGTTGAGTACCAGGCTAGGGTTCAGGTGGTGCGACATCTTGATGTGCATACTTCAGGAGCCCCCAAAAATGTTTGTTTTTTTACATTTCGAAGGGGGAGGGGGAGTCTGACCTGCCCATTTAAATTAAGTTTCAATTTGGTCCTGTAACCAACCGTTTGGCAACACCTCTCTGAAATTCTCGTACCCCAATTCTATGATTGCCTAAAATAATATTGCTCTCATAAATAAATACCAAATTCATTGTACTGGCTTTATCTTATTTTTCTGTATCTAACATGAAAATAATGTCGTGATAAAATTTGAGGGTACACGCAAACGGTCAAAATTTCCAACATAAACTCAAAAACCAAGATCAATAGACTATTAAATCCTTGCTAAGGACAAAGTTATGTACCTCCATAAGTATGTGCACCAAGATGGCGCACAACCTGAAAATAGTATGTGTACCAGGTTAGGGTTCAGGTTGTGCGCCATCTTGGTGCACATACTTCGGGAGCCCCAAAGTTTTTGTATCCAACTTCGGACTCCACTGAACTGGTGTCAATATTTCCTTCAACCTGAGATATGAGAAAATCAATCAACATGGCCTCCCGTCTCCTCCACAGCACTTAAAATTATATTTAATTGAAGACTGAGTCTGGTATAACCCCCCCCATTCTGTCTGCTTCAACTGTACTAAAAACCAATAACATAAGCTTGATTACATGTTTAATCACTCATGACAATATAATTAAACGCATGCAGCTTCGATGAAAAATTATCAGTGAAAATGATATTATTTACCATTAATTAGCAATTAGTTTGACCAAAAAAACATAGGATAAAAAAACAAGGCCAACATGCCCTCCAAATCGTCTGTATTTTTTTTACTTTGTTGTTAACCTTTAAAATACACAAAACCAAGGACACTGAATTACTGGGCCACACTAACATTTTCAGGCAGGCAACAAATCTTCTAAAAATGGCTCTCTGGGAGTTATTGATAACTTAATTGAATTTTGTTGTATTAGTAATGAACGATAATGCTATTTTTTTCATACTAAAAGGTGATTCATATTTGATTATTGAAGTGGATTTGATTTGTCTATCCTTGCAAAAAGAATTTTTTGTTTTTATTCTCATTTTACCCTTGCATTAGAAATTTAATAGGCAACAGATTTTTTTGTGCAATATAAGTGGGCCCCCCCAAAAAAGGGTTGAGAAACGCTGGCCTAGGATTTTGTACGTCAAATAGACAACGGAATAATGGATAAACTTAGAAACAGAAAATTTTACTATGGGGACACCTAGTGGCAGTCTACTAATGAGAAAAATCGAATATGAAAAATAAAATGAGACATAGGATGAAATAATCGACAAAAAGTTAAAATTTGCACAAACAAATAAGTAACTTAAGTACATTATGGCAATTTAAAAAAAACACTGTATTGCTTCACATTATCTTGTAGATATTTTTTTTCCTTCAAAAAAAACCTTCACCATGTCTCGTCAAATTTTACTTTAAAATCGAAAATTCCAATTAATCCAAAAATAATCATTCATATATTGTTGTTTAGAAGTAATTGAATACAGTTCCCACAGGAAAATGTAATTTTGAGCAACTGAAGTCCCACAAGAAAAAGCAAAAAGGAGGCGTGGGAGGGACTAGCATGACAAGCATAACATTTGTCCAATCAAATGAATATCTTATTTTTGAAACAACTTAAGAAAAATCATTGAAAAACGGGAAAGCCTGAGTGATGAATGAAAATTTTTTGTCTTTTGCAACAACCTACATGCCTGAGGCAGCATTTTCACCTCTTATCAATGTGATAATAAAATACAGGTTGAGACTTGTGACTTGACTTGTGTTGTAAATGAAACATTACCTTTACTCGTTGGTTAGACACAGAAATTGATACGGCATAAGATGGGAGTCCGTCAAAACTAAGATTCACAAATAGGGGCCCGTGGCCCTAAAAGTTTCTGAAACTCTGCTCTATACGAAGCTCTATGAGAGAAACCTAGTGGCTCCGTGAGCTATTCATTCGTTTCATGGCATGGTGAGTGTATTGTGTGTGCAAAATTAGTATAGGGAGAAAATATAGTGTGTGGATGTCTAATATCAATGTTTGAATCGATTTGAAAATATTTATAGGCTAATGAATGTTTGGAATTCTCAATTTAAAATATTTATGCCCCATAATGATTGGACAAAAAGCAAAAAACATGGAAAAGATTGGGTGGGCAGTCTTATCAGTGTATTAGTCAAGATTTGGAAGGTTACTTATTTCGATTTTCTTAAAAGATAAATTTGTGATAAAAAGGGGGAACAAAAAACTCAAAAATGAAATTAAAAAAAAAAACAATTTAACCACACCAAACTTGAAGCCAACCAAATAAATATCTCATGGCAATCGAAGGAAAAACATTGAAAAGAAGGATCCAGAAGGGAAGCCCAAATAATGTAGTACTTTACATTTCACATTTATTTATTTTCTTTTAAAACGCACAATTTCTTGATAAGTCAAGTTGAGGAATAAAATACATTTTGAAATACCGGTACTAATTTTTATTTATTCAAAAGCCTTCAAAAGTAGTCAAAGATGTCAATTAAAATAAACCATGGTACTAAATTGTAGTTCTTCCTTCCAAAATCATACATTTACTTCATATTAGAATGACAAATATCGAAATTATTCGAATCATTTAGGACACCTAGAGGCCGTGGTTGACATAGAATCGCCCAATATTGAAATTAATAAACACAATTATTTTTATCTTAATAACTGCAATATTGAAGAAAAAAAACACTGAAAAAATTATAGACATGACATAGAATTATGAAGACACTAAATGCTTAAGCATGATAAATAATCTGCAAGGGATGCATTTGGGTATTCATAAACATACCCCCCCCCATTTTGAGATTTCAACAAAAATTATGTAGACACTGAAAGTTTAAGCATGATGAAAATAAATAGAAGAGATGCATTTGAGTATTCCCCCTCCCAACTATACCCAGGAGACCCTATTTTCCTCCCCCTATTTTCTAATTTCGACAATCTTTTTTAATATTTTTAGTTGTGCTTTATTATTTAAATATATATCTCATGACTTGTGGAAACCTGAGATTATTTTCAAAAGCTCTTACAATTCACTGTATAAACAAAACACAGGAGAACATTTTGTCAGCTAAACTCGAACTGGTTAGGTAAATATACAACTAAAGGGCTTCAAATACCTTTGTCAGTGTTTACCAATATTTTACGTTAAATTCATATTTATTCTCAAATCTTTTTTCAAATTTCCATGTTTTGTGATTTATTTATCACTATTCATCGTCATGATAAAGTTTGACGGTATAGACCAGATGTGTGCAGCAGGCGATCCGCGGGCCACAACCCGTCCCACCAAGCCATTTAGTGTGACCCTTGTCATCACTTAAGATTTTTCCTATCAAGAATTGATTATTACTAATTCGACAGTCTATGTTTGAAAAGGCCCACACGTGGGTAAAACACATAATGTTAGGTCTTGTCGCAGCATTAAATCTTTCATCGTTTTTTCCGGTGGATTTCCGTAAGGCTAAGCGATAGCATCTCGCCTTCCCTGCTTAATTTTTTGTGTGGCCTGGTTAAAGTTGGTTATGTGGCCCGCGGATAAAAATGTTGCACACTCCTGGTATAAACATTGAAAACTTTAGCTTGACTTACATCAGTTGGGCATTTATTTGTAAGTCACTAAGTTGGTCTATTTTTCATTATTCTGTACTTAACTCATTTTTTAATACTAATATCCTCATTTTAACATGATTCAAACTACAGGTTGGTCGCTAGAAAAACAGAAAATTTGTCAACAGCTTTTCATTTTCACAAAGAATAACTTTTGCAAAGTTTTTTAAAGGCATATGTCATATTACATTCATAGATGCTCAAAATGACGTCTGTGCACGTCAGAGCAGTG